GGGGGGCTTGAAAGAGGATGGAGCTAGACTGTCCTTAATGATGGCAGATGACAGAACAAGGAGCAATGGTCTCAAGTTACATCAAAGGAAGTTTATGTTAGATATTAGGAAAAATTCTCTCACTAGGAGAGTAGTAAAACACTGGAACAGGTTACCCAGAGAGGTGGTAGAATCTTCATCCTTGGAGATTTTTAAGACCCGGCTAGACAAAGCTTTGGCTGGGGTGATCTAGCTGGGGATGGTCCTGCTTCGAGCAGGGGGTTGGACTAGATGACCTCTCAAGGTTTATTCCAACCCTAATTTTCTATGATTCTTTGTCTTTGTACACAGGGCCTAGCAAAACAGAGCCTGAACAGGACTGCCAGGTGCTACAACATTATGGAAAGCACGGAACAGCATAGAGTATTGATGTAGCTTTGCAAGCACATGTCAAATTTAGATAACGAATCTGGAGTGATGTCACTGGGGAACAAACGCAGTGGTAAATAGGTCTTAAAAGAGTGACATCACTCACATTTGGAAAATCATACATCTACACATCTGGATGGCACAGGCAGAATCACAAGGGAAGTTCATTAGGGCTGTGTGAAGCTTCAGTCCCTGATTCGATTTGGTGGAGATTCGGCCCAATTCGGTGGCCAAATCTCCAAATCAAATCAGAAGATGCTTTAACCTCCCCAAATCGATTCAGAGAGATTTGGACATATACACAGATTTAAATATTTTTTCTACATACCTCTAGGTACCAGGCGGGTCATGAGTGCTGTGATGCTGGGGTGCATGGAGTGTCCCACAGGAGTGCAGGGGGCTCCCCAGCGTACTTGGCAGGAGACCCGGAAGTGGACCAGAAGCAGCTTGCCAACTGGTGCCTCCTGGGTCTGGGGCAGACACCCAGGTCCCCCCATGGCTGATCGCCAAGCCAGGGGGGCGTGGGGGGCCCCCCATGGCGCTCCCTGGCAGACCCAGAAGTGGACCGGAAGTACTTCCAGTCCACTTCTGGGTTCACTGCCCAGCATGTGAAGGCCCCCCTCCCCGCAGTCCTGTGGCATGCTCCATGTGCCAGAGCATTGCAGCGCTCACAAGCCATGCTGGTACCCCAAGGTAGGTAGACACAGCTTTAAATATTATTTCTATGTCTGAATTGCTAATTCTCCAAATCAGCATCAAATCTTCAGATTCGGATTCACCCAAATCGAATCAGGGACAGTGATCCGAATCAACTAATTGAATCACTGTCCTTGATTCGGGCTGAATCCGAATAGACTAGGGCCTGCTTCGCACACCCCTAATGTTCATATATATCAGAGAAATGCTGAGTCAGGAATACATGCTATACTGGCTCAAGGAGAATTAGAGCCATGTCCATGTACTGCAGGAAGTAGAGGTGCATCGATACATTGATCTGATATAGAATCAGTACCAATATAAAGCAAATTGATTGCATCGGAAATCGGCCTGATGTGGCCAATAATTTGGCAGATAAATGCCCATGCATGTGCGCAGCCACAGTGCAGCACGTAGGTAGTGAGGAGCACAGCCTGACAGCTTGGAGAGCTGCGTGCAGCTGGTAAGTCTGTTGTGGTGGAAGCAGGAGGGGGGGAAGGGATGGCGGGGGGGGGCAGATCAATGCCCCCCACAGTAAGGGAGGGAGGGGGGCTAGGGCAGGCACTACCCAGGTGGGGTGGGCTGAGGGACCGAGCCACGGGGGAGGGGGGGGGGGGTGCCCCCTGCCTCTCCGCACACCCCAAAAGGGCATGGAGGGGAGGGTGTGCCCATGGATCTTTACAGGGGGGGCAGGAGGGGCTGCAGCTGCGGGCTGGGGCCAGGGCTGTGCTGGATTCTTCCCGGAGTATGGGGGCTGCGCTCCCAGCACATGGAGGCTGCACTCAGGGTGGGTGGTGGTGGCACGTGGGGTGGGGGATGACGACAACTACTATGGGGGGCTACAGCAAAATTTGGGGTGGCTGCGCCCCTCCCCTCTGTATCCCCACTCTCAATGCGACTGCCGCCTGCCCTGAGCACAGCCCCAGCCCAACCCCACCCCATGTGCTGGGAAGACCCCAGTGCAGCCCCAACCCCAGCCCACAGCTGCAGCCCTCACCCGCCCCTCCACGCACATCTGGGGGCACATGCCCCACCATGCCCTTCAGGAGCGCATGCAGCAGTAGGAGCCGCCCCCTCTCACACCCCCTTGGCAAGCCGTGTCTCCTTTTTAGACTCAAGGCACCTCTCCTTAGATCCAAGGAACCCCTTGAAAAATACCGCCTCTTATTTTTTACTAATTTTTTTACTAAAGAAAAATAATAAAGCAATTCTTCTGTTGCAAAGAACTCAGAAAGACTACAACAGGTCAGAATGGATTCCTATTTAAAATCTCTGAGTTTATCCTGTGAATCATGATTGCACACTTAGCAGTGCTAACATTGTATGGCTCTCCCCCACACCTGTGGAAGGATCTCAAGGCACTCCAAGGTGCAGTGGCACCCTGGTTGAGAATCATTGATATATGGGAAAGACACACTCAGAGAGACATGAAATTCTGTTAGTCATGAAATCCTGCTACTATAAAAATCGCCCACATCTGAAGCTTTCCAAGAACACTGCGTTCACAGTTGAGGACTCTTTGCTTCACCAAACAGTCTCAGAGGTGCGTCCAGATAAGCGTGTATACATGGTATGCAGCACTGCAGACCTGTCTGCAGCAGCGCACACCACACATGCAGGGATTCCCTGTGCTCCTAATTTGCTAGGAGATCCCAGGATCAAAAAAACGCGCACGTAAAAAAAGCAAGATCGTGCACATGGTGACAGCACATGCTGCCCGAAACCAGAGCCGGGCCAGCTAGAGTCACATTCCAGTTGCCGGCCAGACTCATTGCTGCAGAATCACCATGGCCGCAGCTCCCAGAGGCCCCCAGGATCCCAAGTAAGGCTGGCCTCAGCCTCCCATGCCTCACATGGGGCAATGTAACACGCACCAGAGCGCACATGCAGCAAAAGTGTTATGACCAATGATCCAGCTAGGTGGGAAGATTGGACCTGTATAAGCAAAGCTATGAATTCAAACTGCTACAGTCAGGCAGGTATAAACCTCCCTTGAGTACACTCCCATTCCAATAAAAGGGGCTCTTTGGAGTTTAGCTTGAGGGGCATGAGGAACATTTTGGAAGGAACAAAAAAAAAAAGTGCTTTTATTCCAGAAAAGGAGCCCACACAGGGAGTTAAACTGATATGACTATTATGCTTTAGCTAATGCAGTATAACTGCAGGCATAACTAGTGCAACTCTTCAGTGTAGGCAAGACTTCAGAGTCCAGAACAAAGGGATCCAATATCAGCAACTGTTCAGCTTCAGAGGCTCAGATTTTGGCTGGGACTGGAACACAAGACAGAAGCTGAGGCAACTACCCAACCTTCATTTGAAATGATACATAAATCAGGCTCATCAACATCCCTCTGCTTTTTTTTGGAGTCAAGGCAGGAGAGCAGACACTGTGCTGTAGAACTTGGAGTCATCAGGAGCAAGGAGTTGGAGAAACAGCTGGAGAAGGAGATGGAGAAAGAGGGTTCTGAGAAAGATAAGGCTGTGTTTGAAGGCAGAAGCAAACAAGTTAGTTGAGAGCAGGTAGCTCAGGGTGAGAGATGAAGGATGAAAGGGGTTGGGGAGGTCTGGAGTTGGGAGAGAGGGTGCAGGAAAAATCAGAAGGCAGAAAAGCCAGGAAAGACCGAGTTGAGCCAATACCAGTAGTTAGAGCATCTTTCATGAAGCCTGCCGTGACCTCAGCCTCAATACCAATCCAGGACTGCTGCACAATGCTGTACATGATTCTCTGTCCAGCCCCGTGCAGAGATGGATTGACTATGCCTAATCATCCTAGACAAATGCTTATCCAGATTCTTCTTGAAAACCTCCAAGCAAGGAACTCCATGCACACTTGAAGCAGCCCATTCTATTGTCCCACTGTTCTTACAATTAGGACATTTTTCCTGAGATTTGAGCTAAATCTGCTCTGGGGCCATTTAACACGTGTTTTCACATCCTGCCCTTCACAGTAAGGGAGAGCAATTTTTCTCCATCCTATTTATGGCAGCCTTTCAAATATTGAAATTTGCTATCATGTCTCCTCTTAACCTCTTTTTGTTCAAGATAAACATACCCAATTCCTTCAGCCTTTCCTCTTATGGTTTGCATTCCAGCTGCTTTAGCACCTCTGTTTCTTGCTTCTGAATCCTCCCCAGTTTCTCTACATCTCCTCTTATAGTGTAGTGCCCAAAACTGGACATAGTACTCCAGCTGCTGAGCAAAATGCTATCATCTCCTGTATCTTCTATACAATACTGCTGTTAAACAATTCCAAACTGCATTTACAACTTTGCAATTCTGTAACACTGTCAATAAGAGATGTAGTAGTAATTTCCCACAGGAGAATTTAAAGAACAGAGCAGTCAATTGGGGACCTAGAGGCAAATTAGGCACTGACCTCCATTGTCTTTAGTGGTATGGCTCGAAGGACAGTCGGCACAGAATGAGGCCTCCCCAGGTAAGAGCTGAGTGGTTATTCCAGGAGGCAATAGAGGTAACAATTGTCCTACAATTTTCCTCTAGAGTTTGTTTGACCATTGGGTACAGGGGAGGGGAAAGGGGTGGCTGATGCTGTGAGTTTCCTTTGTTTATGGGTTGCTTTCATGGCCTTAATGCCCTTTTCACAGTGGTGGTATTTTGGAAATCCTCAGGGTTCAGATGATTGGATGTATTGCACTTATCCCAGTGCAGGGCAGGAGTAAGTTGCCAAAGCATTTTCTTGCTTGATGGCTCTTTTCACCCACCAAATAAACCTGTAAGGAGTTGTCTTCCTATTTTCCTCCAAACATTTTAGCTGGCTTCTGTGTAAAGTTTATGAAATAAGACTGCATGACATAGTGCGAGCTCTATGCCATACTCACCAGTATGGCAGGTTCACAGCTTAGCTCTTGCCCTGGCCAGCTGCCCTGTCACCTTACCTGACTCTCGACACTCACTGCACAGGCATCTTTATCCTTTGAATGAAGTCCCTCAGAAACTCCTCCATCCAGAGACACAGCTTCCAGGAAATTAGAAGGGACAAGGCCTCTCTGTCTGTTTAACTCTCCCTGAAAGGTCAACACAGCAGTTCTCAGATACATCAGTAAGAACAACTGGCTTGATAAATAAGCAGACACCTCTGACATGGGGCTAGGCAAGTGATAGTCATTGACAGCCAGGGCCATACAAAAGTGGCCTGATCCACATTTGTGCTAGAAACAGTGGGCGCATCCCCACAAGCAGGAACGTGCGCTTCCCCAGGGACAAGTAGCAGTGGCACACCTTGTATGCTGGTACTTGTCCCTGGGGAATGCCTGTGCCACACACGCTCTGGTATCCTGGGGAGTTCCAGGAGCTGTACCCATGGTACTCCTGCAGCAAGGAGCCTGGCTGGCAGCTTGAGCTTGGCTCCAGCTGGCTAGGCTCGTTTTGAGAGACGCACACTGACACCACATGCACCACCCTGGTTTTTTTAGGCACAGGTTTTTTTGACCCCGGGATCTCTCAGGGTCAAAAAAATGCCCTGTGTTGCAATGTAGCAGTGCAGGGAATGCCCACATGTGCAGCATGTGTGCCATAGATGGGTCCGTGGTGCTGGATACTGCATGTCCACACTTGTCTGGACATGCCCAGTGGGGGCAAATTTGCTGATATTCATTCTGATTTTTGCCCCATAGGCCATAACTGAAAAACAACCCCAGGGAGGAGGGGCTGGAATCTTCAGTTCTCTCACTTTCTAGAACAGGACTCTAACCACGAGATCCCAGTCCAGACTTCTGCTAGCCCTCTTCCAAACTCTTAACTCCACAAGTCACTGGCTTTTACTAGAAACAGTTTCATCACTCACGCTTGTCTGGGGCCAGCACACAAAGATATGACCTGCTGGGTGAGAGCACAGCCCATTGAGCATGCTTAGGAGTAGGGGTGCACCAATTAAGATTTTCTTGGCCAAGACCAATAGCCGATTATTAACCAGCCATATTGGCTGATACAGATCCAATAACCTATTTACAGGAATGCAGCTGGGCAGCGTAGAGAGCAGCTCCCTGCAGGTCAAGGGCCATGAGGGAGGGAAGAGGTGTGGAGGGGGGCAGATCAAGGCCCCCATGATGAGGGAGGGAGTGGGGCAGGGGCTGGGGGCGCTGCCCAGCCAGGGCAGTGAATGGGACATGGGGCCAGGGTGGAGAGAAGGCCAGAGCCAAGGGCAACTCATCCAGTGGATCAGCATCCTGGTGCTTAAAAATGGTGGCAGGGGCACTTGAACTAAAGTTTGTTAAATGAGCTTTAGTTCAGAGTGGCCACCACCAGTGTTACATGCAGGGATGCTTTTATAACCAAAGCAGAACCAAGTGGGGTGAGGGCGGCTGCAGGCTGCCTGCTGTGGGCTCAGGCCTTCCACTCTGCTACCTTTCCCCTGGGGACCCTGCATCAGCCATGCGTCTCTTGCCTGCCCAGCAGCAGGAGGCACAACTCGCCACACCCACTGCTGCCAGGCAGGCGGGGGGCACACAGCCAGTGCAGGGCCCCTGGGGAAAAGGCAACAGAGCGGAGAGCCCCAAGCCCACAGCAAGCAGCCTGCATCCACCCCGTGCAAAAATCTGGGGGGGAGGAGGAGTACATGCCCACTCCATGCCTCTACCAGGGGGTGCACACAGGAGCAAGGAGCCACCTCCTCCCCACCCTGATGAGCTGCCCACAGCTCCATCCTGCTTCCTGTCTCCTTAGCAAGTACTTACATAATAGAAACCGTCATCATCCATGGACCCAAACACCGTGATAATATCCCCGGCACTAAATGTCAGCTCAGCCTGGAAGGAAGCACAACATGCTGGTTAGTAGAGGAGCCCAGCATTGGGAAGGGAGTGGCTAATCATGCTCTCACACTGTACCTATTGTGAACTTCTGTGTCCTAGTGCAGAATGGATAGAAAAATTCTTCAGGCTCCAGAATTTGAGTCCTGGAAAGTGAGGTTATTTTGAAAGATTTGGGCAATTCAGACTCAGAATAATGAAGTCAGCTGGGCCTTGCAGGAAAAAGGAAAACCAAGAAACAAGGCACACTCTGCTCTGAGAAGTAAGAAAGCCAAGAGTTGTACTATGAAGGAAGCACTCACATTTTTCTCATGTACATAGGTGAAAATCCCATTTTAACAAAACATCACCTAAATCCCATTGATGAAAGACACATTGCGAAGCAACTGCTTGATCAAATACCTAAAATGCATCATGATTGTTTGTTTAAATGCAGACACTGATTTGTCCTCCCTCCATTCTGACCACAATCCCCAGGACTTTCTTACAGAAGCAAGGAAGATGCTATGTGAGGTTTATGACCCCACACTTCACCCACCCCTCCAGTTACCAGCCACTCACCATACTGAACCTCCCTCCCCCCACAAAATTGTAGTATGTGGAGTTTGTCCTCTGGGCCGAACTGCTGGTAGAAGTAGGGGTTTTTGCTTGCAGGACCACAGTAGTCTCTCCTAACTAATAAAGAGTGGGGGATGTAGTCAGAACTGCACAGCTGCTCTAGGAGAGAAGAGCAGGAAGCACTGAACCAGGCTGTGTAAGGGGGAAAAAGAAGGAAGAGAGCAAGTTCCTACCTAGAAGTAGCTGCAATGCATGCATTTGCCCATGTTTTCCTCACATCATCTCAACACTTGCCTACCCATTCCTCTATACTACCAAGCCTTCTTCCCAAAAGGAATGTGCAAACTTTTCAATATAATTATTGCTAAAAACAAATGTTATTAGCTTGTCAGGAACACATTAGAATATTTCAGGTCTCTTAATTGTTGATGCCCTATTTTCTCCAATGTATCTCTTGACGTATTTGTAATGCGCCTTTAGGTTGCTTTACAAATGTTGGAGGTGTGTAAGTGTTGGAGGTGTGTAAGGACATTGGGCCTGGAGCACACAAGGAAATATGAGAGAGTATGGAGAGACAAAAGGTGGGGGCAATGAGATCTGAAGAGAACTTAAGGCGAGATTGGAGATGGGACTAGCTGGGCAAAGAAACTGCGGGATGGGGTAAAGGAACTAGCAGGGGAGGGATAACAGATTTGGATGAGCAGCCAGAATGCAGAAGGAGAACTGCAACCAGCTGTGCAATGAGCCTGGGTCAAAGAGCTGAAGGAATGGACAACTCATTGAAATTGGACAATTGTTTAGAGACTGAGGCTGGGACTGGGAGACAACAGGAACAGAGAAGAGGGTGCTGTGGAAGGAACTGAAGGCCAGAGACTGGAGACAGACAGAGTGGATGAGAACTAACAAGGCAGAAGCAAGACTTGCTGGACAAAACACTTGGAGAGACAGGGAATTTCTGGGCAAGAACAGTAGGAGCAAGGAGAAGACTGGGACTGAAAGCAGACTGTGGTAGTAAGATCAGAAGTTTGAAGGGGAGAGTACAGCTGGTTGGCAAGGAGACCGGGCTGATAAGCTTGAGGAGCAGACTGACAGCTTCGGTGGTGAGAATGGGACTGGGATAAAGGGGTAAATGGGACAGGACTGGGAGGACAGCTGGTGGGAAACAGAGGAATCAGATACAGCAAGAATGGGAGCAGATTGTTTCTGACTATTAGAGCACATTTCCTCCTGACCATGGAAGAGAATGCAGGGTCCCTGAGTCTCACTGCTCCTTCACTATGAAACTCATGGCAAAATTTGTCCCTCTTGTCTTCCTCAGGTGCAGGTCTCCATACAGAATGACAGCTGGTGACTGACGCCCGTTGCTCTATTCACTGAGGTCGCAGAGGTCTATGCAGTGGATCTAAAGGTTCCAGCTCAATTGACAAACCATGTGCGTGTCATGGTAGAATTTTTGCCATGCTGGAACTTTTACATAATTGTTCTGGATATAAAGATAACTGTGAGCTTAGCCCAAAACGATTGTGGTCCCTGCAAGGTAGCATTCTCTGGGCTACGTGATAGGGAGGCAAGAATGGATGACTATAGTGGACCTTCCTGACCCTAAAATATCAAGACTGTGAAATCTCCTTCACACAATTTGCAACATCAATTCTCTTCTTTGTTCTCCTTCTTCATGGTTTTGCTGCCCTTATTTCTTTCCCACAGACCTAACTGACTTTGAATGTTCTCTATTTCCAGCACAAGTTCTGACCTTCAGATCGCTGATGAGACTGTTTTGGCTTAACAACTGACAGTGCGTCTTTTATGGAGTATTTTACCTCTTTCCTCACTTAGCAACCTGCATCTGAAATGTTCTGAGCACCTTCACACCCCCAACTTCAGCTTTATTTAAAATTCATGGGATCCAGTTCTGTAAGATGCTGGATACTAATACAGGACTGGATCCCTAACATGCCTTCCTGACACCAAATACACTTGTACTGAAACAAACTAACATTTCCTAATCTGACCTAGTTACTTACTACCATTATGGCAAAATTAGGTTAATGCGGAGCTTGAAACCGCATGTGCAAAGTAAACATAGGAGTGTCATACAATCGTAGGACAGTAGGGCAGGAAGGGACATCTTCAGCAGCATTA